CTAAAACCATTATTTCGATGAAGCAAGTTTTGGTCATATCAAATGATACGACCTGCTAAAGCTAATTAATAAAAAGCTTCAATGGCCTCCCAAAGATCTTCTTGTAGTTATAGATATTTTAAAGGTCTTTATTGATAGGATACCTTCTACAAAACTTTAATAAAATCATCCTAAAAATTATTTTCGAATATGAAAATATTTAAAACTTTATATTCAAAAATATTCCTTATTCAGAACTGCTTCATGTTGTTGTCTATTGTTAGAAGACTTTAAGTGACTGTCTATAGATAGCTTCAATTTAAAAGGTTTCTAAAAGTTGAAGATCTTTAATATATTTTCTACGGATAAAATAACTGAATACAGAACCTTTTAAGGGTCTTCCATTAACAAAAGAACTTTCATAAATCTTCCATGAATAGAAGATATTATAAAGAGCTTCTATGGGTGGAGGCCTTCCAAAGTTCTTCATTAGCTAAAATACCTTTGAAAGATTTTTTACGTACATAAATCCATATAAGGGATTTTATGAATAAGATAACTTCGAAAGATTTTCTATGACTAGAAGAACTTCTCTGAGATTTCGCTGAACAATGTTAAGTTGGATAGAAAAACTTTCACAAATCATTTTTTTAAGAGAAGACCATATATAGACCATATTTATAGAGAAAGCCCTCAAAATGAATTTTTATGGACACATGACTTACTACACGTCTTAGGTAAACGAACTCCTTAAAATCTTCTATGAATATAATAACTTTTTACATTTTTTCTACGTATAGAATACCTCTTAGGGGTCTTCTATGGATAGAAGAGTTTCCAAATGCCCTGTGTGAATTGAAAACCTTTTAAGGGACTTGTGTATAGAAAAGATTTTCTAAATGCACTTCGTGGACTGAATGCCTTCTATAAGTCCCGTGTAACTAAACCACTTTTTTATCGATGAATGAAGTTTTGAACGTGTAGACCAATGGAGGAACTGGTTTGGATTGAAGATCCTTGAGATGATCAGAAAATCCTTGAAGATTTTCTATGAATCGTTTTTATAGAAGAATTTCTAAATGCTTACTATGTTTGGGAGATTTCTATAAGTCTTCTACGGACGTATGTGCTTCGATGTATGGAACCCACAAAAGATATGTCCACCGAATGCCTTTAATTGATATATATTTGATAAAAAGTTATCCTTAAATAGTTTTAACGTCTAGAATATCAATTAAAGGCCTTCAATGGATATATCTTTTATGGGTCCAGAAGATCTTAATATACTCTTCTTTTAACCTTAGCAGTGGAAGATATTGCGTTTTTATCCACAGGATTTCTCATGACCATAACTGCAATTCATTTCTTTTTATTTCCAATGTATTATCTTATTTTTTTTTTTTTTTTTTTTTTAAATCACTGTGCTCCCTAACAGAAATGACGCTACGTCTGTGCAAGACAAAATTGAAAAATAACAAGAATTTTGTAGGAAATATGCACTTTTAGATATGCTAGTATCTTCTACACGAACTCGTATATTTCCGGCGCAGAAAATCCGGGGATAAGTGAAATATAGGGACACATAGTGTAATACATAATAATTATATTACTCAACCAGACGATTTTTAATACAGCAAAAATTGAATTTATTTTTAACGCCATGGCTTAACTTTGGAAAACAGCATGTGATATTTGAGAGAGTTTCTGTACGAGTCATTGTTAGAATCCATAATAATAAAATGTCTACAATCTAATAAGGTCTGAGGCTAGACGCAATTGTGTAAGTATGTGCATGAATATGTCATCCTGCAAATGAAAGTCAGTTTTGGTATATCAAAACGCGAAATTCAGATGGTGTTGTAACTTCACTGACATTTGTTTCTAACACATCAGCATTTAGTGTTTTTTCATTGCAGCCAAAATATTATTTGCGCCCAGATAAACTTAAATTCATTTGAGTTTGTTTGTCAGCAACATGGAAAATTGAGTTTGACCAAAACAAAAAATATATATGAATATAATTAAAACTCTAAACAATTTACCGAAGCCTTTACAATTTTAAACAAACATTTTGTAATTTTTTACTACATGGAGATTCCATGAAAACTGTTTTTGGTTCGTGACAACAAGACTCCGAATGGAATTTTTTGTCACACAACCAGAGTTAAATTACTGCTGGTATTGGTGTCCATTTTAAAAATTTTATTCAATTAAAATTTTGCAAGTGAATAATTTCATAGAAGAATTAAAATTGATTTTGAAATACTTTGTTTAGATGATATCATAAATTGACAATAAAGCGATACAAACTTTGAAGTTAATTTTCAGGTGGTTTGTTGAAATTGGGGTTTTCAGTAATTCTTTGTATTTGACATTGGGAAAAATTCTGTGGAAATTGCATTAAACGTTAATAATAGAGTTTTTGATGTACTCCATTCAATTATGTTTAAAGTGATTCAATCGTGCGTATAAGTATACGGGTCATATCTGTGCGTTAATAATACGGCACATGATACCCAAAAATAGCCTTATAATATAAATCATACATATATCTTCGGTTTTATGCGTTAGTACTGCATACGCTATTTACTTGATAATATAGAGAAGAGAAGTAACTAATATAATCATAACTTATCTAATCCAATTTTTAATATCTATTTTTGACATAATATGGTGTATTGCCTAAAAATGACACACAAACATTTGTCTAAAACCGAGACATACAGGGTGAAATGAAAAAACTGCAACCAACTTCAGACTGTTGTCATATCTAAGCCACTCTTCCGACAGTGGTTGAAATTATTCCAGTGACAGCTCATTATATTGTTTACAAGCGTATAAAAGTATTCTGGTGAGAATTTTCCAAAAAAAATATTCGTGACGGAATTTAAGTATGTTTGTGTGATTTCTTTATATTTGGCTGGAAAACCACAAGTGGCTATCCTTTAAGCACGCCCGCATTTAAATGTGAATAAATCTTTTGTGTCTCGTAGCATCGCTCGTTACCGTGATACTGGTAGCGTAGCCCGGAGTCAAGGAAATGGATGGAAGAAAACATTAACATCAGCAGAAATGGTTGGAAAAGTAAAAAAGCGACTTGATCGCCCGCGTCGCAGTGGCTGGAAAATGGCTCGTTAGCTGAACATATCGCAATATTCCATTCGGCAAATATTAAAAAATGACCTCGGTCAAAAGCCATTGAAATTCAAAAAGTGCAAAAACTTACACCGCAACAGAAAGAAAATAGACTCAAAACAGCTAAGAGGTTGCTTCGCTTGGCCGAAAGTGGTGAACTGCCGAATTTGGTTTTCTCCGATGAGAAAACATTCGTTGTCCAGAATTTTGTAAACAAACAAAACGATCGTGGCCAGCTTAAAATGTGCACCTTCGGTTGGCCACCAGAACTCAAGCGCCGGCCATGGTGATGAAGTGGGCCGCAACAACTGCCGATGGTCGCTCTCCGCTCGCATTAATCGACCGTGGCATCAGAATAAATTCCGAATATTACCGCGAAAATATTCTGGAGGGTGTATTATAGCTTTAGGCACGCAAATATTTTGGCCGCAGATCTTGGACATTCTAACAGAACTCAGCACCATCGCACTCAACACGCGCCAACCAAGAATGGTTACAAAATGAGGTTCCTCGTTCTTCATTTCCAGAGCACAATGGCCACCAAAATCTCAAAATATACCAATCCGTTGGACTATTGTGTCTAAAGTATTTTGGAAAGCACTAAAAAATACCAACATTTCGATCACCTCAAGCAAGCGATTCGCCGGAAATGGGCCAAAATACCACAGAGCAACATTCGGGCAGCGTATGACATTTTCATTGGCCTTTTGAAGGCCATAATTCGTGCCAAAGGTGACCAATTCGAACAAATCTAAACTTATTCTGAAATTTGATGGTACTTCCGACATTTTTTGCTTTCATTCAATAAAATTAAAAGTTATGGCATTTGACTTTGTTGCAGTTTTTTTTTATTTCACTCTGTATATCTGTCGAATTAAATTACGTTTGAATATGAGACATGTCGGCTCATTTATATAGCCTTAGCCGCATGAGTACATTTAATAAGGCCGAAAGGTGCCTTATCGAAATAACAGTGTAAGGCTCTATGTCTCATTGGACAAAATTTGTTTCAGGATATTTAGAATCGATCTAGCCGTACCCGTTCTTCCGAATGGCTGGTGTGAACGATAACTCTTGAAGTAAATATCCGATTTCATTTATAATTGGTACACTTAGATCGAGTTTGGAGGTGGACAATATCGTTCCACTTCCAAGTGAGCATTAGATTCTTTTAATGGCATGTATAGAAACACTTCTTCCGGTACCTCCTTCACAAATGGTAAATATTTGGAATAATTATTACGCTGAAATGAGCATCAGATTCATTCCATACTCGGCACATGCGAATATTTCGACCAACACATGATCTGGTATTAAGCTGGTGTACAGTAGACCATCCCCTCTGGTATCTCCCCGCAAATGGCCACCATGGATGGTGTAGTTCAAACCTTTATGGTACGTCAAAAAAGGTTTACATAAATGGTCAAATAAATTGAACAAATTCAAATATCACATATAATTCGGATGTGTTTATCGATCAAATTCAAGCTTAGCCGGTTATAAAATTTCCTCGGCTAATACGCTCTTAGATTTTTTTTGTTTCACAGTGCATTGTTTTTAATTCATTGAACTTACCCTAATGTATGAAAGTGGAAAATTCCCCATTATTCATATATACATTGGAAATAAAAATCTAGATAACTCAATTGCAGATAAAAATATCTATAAACCGGCATTTATAGCAGCAAACGAGAGAATATATTCCCATACATAACTAAAAATTTTATTTCAAAAAAACTAGAGCGCACATGCGCATTTGAATTTTCCATGAAAAACAATCTCATCTCTCCCTAACAAAAGGTACCATGGAAAATTATAGCAAACTGCTGGCTTCGCTCAGGCAAAAACAAGTAAACAGAATTTGGGTTTAGTATTGAAGACGGTGACTGAGAGTACGTTGCGTATGAGCGGATTTAACGGAAAATCTACTGAAACCAGATTCATATTTTTGCATGAAGTGAAACCAAAAACGTCTGCATAACAAATAATAAAAATTGTAATAAACACCAATAAGCGTTAATTTATGCCAGAAAAGAATGTTCACGAAAGTGTCGTAAAAGTGGAAATAACAGCTCTTGAAGTAGAACAACAAAAGTGAAAGAAACATAAAATAGATAACAATTGTAAAAGTGAAATGTGGAGGCTTCAAAAAGCAAAAGCATAAAAGAATAAGAAAAAGAAAAACAGCAACAAAGTTAATAATACCTTGGTAAACATAAGCGTAATGCTGCTGCTGCTTCCAAGATGGTGATGATGATGATGAAGATTGTGTTCGAAGAGAAATACACAAATATTTGCCAGAGAATGGCCTAAAGTAAACACACATCTCTTGCCAGTGAATAACACAAAAAAGCAGATGCCAAAGAATAATCAGAAAAAAAGTTCACCGGCTGTAAATGAAATGAAAAAATAAATGTATTTTGAAGTTTAACTAAAGATTTTTTTGAATTGAGAAAAGTATTCCAAGAAGAAAAAGAATCGATAAGAATTGTTTGCTTTTGTTTGGACCTTGGCCAAGGGTGAGGACGAGACACAGTGTAAACACAAATCCTTTTCCATTCCTTTTCATTTCTACGTATCTAAACAAATATTTAAAAGCAAACATAAATAAGAGCCCCAACCAAAAAAAATGTTTTGTGGAAATGGAATAAAATAGAAAGAAAATTAAAAAAAAAAAAAAATAAGTAAAGAAGCAAAACAAAACAACCACGACAAAAGTCCTTTAAAAATATTTGTAAAGTGCGAAGAGAAACCAGCAAAAAAAAAAAGTTTACCAACACCAAAACATGTCAAGTATGAAGTTATAGTTGTTTTCCATTTTTTTTTCGTTGCGAAAACATGTGAGAGTACACACAGTAACAATAATAACAGTAACAACAACAGTAACAGCAGCAACGGCAACAAAAACAACAAACATACAAAGTACACTTGCCTGCGTTGGCATCAAGTTTGAAAACAAAAGGGAAAAATAAATGTTATGCATGTGCTATCGAATCGGGTCAAAAGTTCGCAAAAATAGCAGCAGCAGTGGCAACAACAACAACAGCAACAGCAGCAATGCCAAAAAGTGAATAAAATACAGATGACTAACATTCAGCTGTTGTTGTTGTCTTTTTTGGAAATCGTTATCACAGTTGTGCACGCATACAACCCACCCACACGACCACCCAACGGCCAACTCCCACACCCATACTCAACGAAAACACACACACACAATGACTGTGCTTTGTCTGTCGTCTCGATGTGAATTCCTTGGCAAAAAGGATATGTGATAATACCACTAAACACCAAGTAGATAGGTGAATTTGTTTCCAATACAAACGATTATTGTTGTTGTTGTACTTTCTTGTTCTTGGCTTTGACTAGAATAGTTTCTTTTGCGACAGTGTTCGGTCTGTGAGCTTGGGCGTGTGTGCGTGTGTGCATGTGGATGACATGTAACTACAAATCTTAGCCAAAATAAGGACAACGACAACAGAGGATACTGCTGTAGCTGTACAGCGTGTGAGTGTGTGAGGTTGCTTGTGGTACGTATCGTCTTATGTATGTATGTCCCAATGTTATTTTGAAATGGCAACAGTAGATTTTCCAGTAAAAGGATTTTTCAAATGCTTCTCTAACAAGATGAAAATATATGAGATTATCATCGACGAACGGTTAGTTTGGTAATATTTTTACCCAAACGAAAAAAATATGTTTTGCTTGTTAGGTGGTTTATTTCCCCTTCGAAGCTAGTTCGGGTGTATTGTGATTAATGTTTTATATCGAAAGTAAATAAAAATGGATAAGTAAGTTCTCTATGAGAACAATGATGGGAAGTAGATTAAAATCATGTAATGGGTTAAAATAAAACAAAATTTGAATTTTTAAGACTTAATATATAGTAAGACACTGTTGGAGGGACAATATGAAAACGTGGTAGAATGATGATATGCATGTGACCGTCTGCTTGTCAGTTTTGCCGACAATTATATACCCATTATCTATGTCTTATACACAGATCATGTGAGACTATTGCGGAAATGATACTAAGAAATCATTTTAATGAACGTTTTCATTCATCATTTGATTTCCTTTCTTCGGAAATCACTAAATTTTAAAGAAATATACTTCTTTATTACATTTCATTTTTTAAACCCTACACATACATAGTATGGAGTTAACAGGGTTGCCCATATTCGACGGACCCATTTTTTTTTTTTTTTTTTAAATCAAAGAAAAAAATAAAAATTTGGCGGTTGCCAATGTTAATCATTTAATTTGTTCCAAATAGATTTGTTTACATCAATTTTTGAGTATGATATCTCTCAAATGGCCGCCTCTGGCGTTGATGACGTATTGTGCCCTTTTTGCTGCATTTTCCATCGTTTTTGCCAACATTTCGGCCGAAATAGCGGCCATTTCTTCACGAATGTTGTCCTTGAGCTCTTCTACGGCCCTGGCTTGTTAACGTAAAACTTTGACTTCAAATATCCCCACAAGAAGAAGTCAGGCGGCGTCAAATCGGGCGAACGCGGTGGCCAGTCCAAATCACCACTATTCGACATCAAACGGCCCGGAAACAAATTCTTCAGAAAATCGATTGTTCTGCGACTTGTGTGCGGTGGAGCGCCATCTTGTTGAAACCAGAACTGCCTCATACGCTTTCGACGAATAATTGGCATCACAAAGTTGGTCATCATGTCGCGATAACGCTCCTGATTGATGGTAACAGCATGGCCATTTTCATTTTGGAATAAAAACGGCCCAATGACCGTTTTTGCACTAACGCCGCACCAAACTGTGACTTTTTCGTCATGAAGAGGCACTTCTTGAATCTCCTGAGGATTTTCAGTGGCGTAAAAACAGCAATTTTGCTTATTTACGGTCCCATTCAATGTGAAATGGGCTTCATCGGACATGATAATTTTGTTTCAAAATTGCTCGTCATCTTCGGTCATTTCGATGACTCTTTGGGCCCATTCCAATCGACGAGGCTTGTCCGCAGGCAACATTCATTGCGTCAATTGAATTTTGTACGGGAACAAATGCAAATCAATGCGAATAATCCGTTGAAAAGTAGACCGAGCCATGTCCAACTGCTGAGAACGGCGTTTTTGGGATGTTCTTGGGGACCTCTCAACACTGGCTCGTACGGCAGCGATATTCTCGGCCGATCGCCTTGGTCGACTTTTATATGGCCTCTTCGGATTAGAAAGAGCCTTACCAGTCGAAAATTTTTCGTATGAACGCTTAATGGTGTTCCTAGAAGGCGCACTTCTCACATTTTTTAATGTTTTAAAAGCACGTTGAGTTTTCACAATTGACTTCTTCTGTTGAATGTAAATTTCAACTATTTCAGAGTGCTCGCGTGGTGTGTATTGGTTCATGGTAAAAATCTGCTTGGACTGACGCTTCAAACGTGGTATGTCATTAAGCGATGTGACATCTCTGTCAAAAGTTATGGCGTTGCCAGATGGGTCCGTCGAATATGGGCAACCCAGTATTTTAAGTTTGTCATTCAGTTTGAAATTCGATTATTAATCGAAATAATCACGAAGTATATTTTTATACGTGAATGTAGAATTCACACTATTGTCCACGTTTTCCTATAGCCGCTATATAACGGTACATTCCCATATTCGCCATTTTGATCAGTTTAGCCGCAGTTTCTAACGTATTGAAAAAAAAATTCCGTACTCACAGCTCACAATGGGTTCTACCTACTGTGGCAGAACATAGCCCTCACATAACGACATTTCTCTCTATTCGGTAAGCAACACTTTCTAACGAAATTAATTAAAATTCGATATTTGAATCACATAAAGGGTTCCCTACAGTTATTGCAGAATTTCTTTTATATAGGTCATCGTTTTTCCATCACATCCTCCCGATATTCGGTATTTTGATAACTTTAGCCTTACTTTTTGAACTGTTGAAATTTGGATTTCATGTTTCTATTGACAGAAAAAAAGAACAGACATATTTTTAAAGAAGTAAGCAAATGCTATCGTCGTGCGGAGCCGACCATGTGATACCCTACAACACTACAATATGGTCTTTATAGAAGTCCCCTTATGTCCAAATCCATTTTGGAAGATTTCGCTTTTGAAATTATGTCAGGGGGAACTTCCCTTAGCTTTTCGAACAGGGACAGGTCAGGATCTTTTTTCTGTTTTTGGTGCATTTGAACCCCTAAATATTATGAGATCATATCCAAAAGCAAGAGGCCCTTCTGTATCTCCAAAGTTAGACTCATCTATATGATTTGTTTGCCTACGATATTTGGCTATATTAGTCAACGAAATCAGCAGAAAAAACAGAAGTTCGCTTTTGGTGTATTTCGAATTGCAATCTGTATACAAAACCCCAACCTGTGTTGTAAGGGGAAGAAATATTACAAAATGTACACTTCAATATTATAAGTCAAATTTAAAAAATCGCATGCGATAAAAAATATGAAAAAATAAAAAAATGTCACAAAATACTACAAAATCTATTATAACATCATTATTGGCATATTTTTCTGCGACTTTTTTAGATTTTATACTTTTATGTCAAGAGGGCATTCTCAATTGACAAATTTTGTCAAAATCGGTCCAGCCATTCTTGAGATATAAGCATTCCATCTAACATTCCTTTCCTTTGTATATACACATTGTATATATTTCGCTATATATATCCGATATATTTACTATCGGAATCTACTTAACGGTGAGAATTGACCTGTTCGTCTATTTGTGATTTAGCCGGGAAAAATCAAACTTATAATACCCCCAACACATATTGTTGTAGGGTATAATGAGCTCTTTTCCAACTGGTGAAATGTATTAGAAATTCGGCCCGGCTGAACTTAACTTTTTATACCCTCAGCCATATGACTAGAGGGGATATATATTATTGGATACGGCCAAAACGTGCATAGGCGAAATAACGGTTTTAGACCCTATGTCTCTTTGAACCAAATCCGTTTCAATACATTTGGAGACGATCTGGCGATGTTAGTCCGTCCGTCTGTCTGTCTGGCTTGTGCGCACTATAACTCTCGAAGGGTGTATACGATTTGATCCAAACTGGGTATATCGAAATATTAATATCAAACTTAAATCGAGTTCGGAGATGGGCAAAATCGGTTCACTTCTTCTGGTACCTCCACCACAAAAGATCAACATTTTCACAGAAAATAATTTACCACATAACACGAAAGGATCATCCAATTTTATGCAAGCGTTGCAAATCCCAATATTTGTATCGGTTCTAGGTAAGGTGTGAAAATCTAATATATTGGTTCAACATAAACCTCCCACACAAAGGGTCAAAAATTTTGAATTATTATAACACCTATAATATGCGAAATAAGCATCCGATTATCTCCAATTTTCGCACATCATAGTACTTCTACTAACAAAAGATTTCGAACATGGACTATGTCGGTCCACCCTTTCAGGTACTTCGCCCACAAAGGGTTACAATTTTGAATAACCATAAAGCTCTTAAAACTCGAAATAAGCAACCGATTCCTTTCAAATTTCACACATACCAATACTTCTACTTAAGCAAAACCTGGTGTGAAGATTGTAGATATCAGATCACTCCACCTGGCAACTCCACCACAAAGGGTCAAAATTTTGAATAATTATAAAGCATATAAAATTTGAACTAAAAGTCCGATTATCTTCAAATTTCGCACATTTCAATATTTCCACTAACACAAGGTCACTGATTCTAGAATCTCCGCCACAAAGGGTCAAAATTTGGAATAGCCATTAAACACATAACACGTGAAATGAACATCCGATTACTTTCAAGCTCTGTACATCCCAATACTTCTATCAACACAAGATGTGTTGTGAAGATGGAAAATATCGGACTGGTCCCTCTGGTACCTCATCCACAGCGGGTGCAAAATTTTAAAATATAACACTCACATATAGAGTGTCGATATAAAAATGGCTTCCAATGTGGGGATTCAATGTTTCTTTTTTTAGCACTTTAAATGGTGAAGATATGATATTGGTTTGAAATGGCGCCCGACGTGGGGATACATTTTGTGTTTTGTAGAGATACTGATTTTATCATAAAAATGGCTTTGATTTGATGATTCAGTGACAGAGTTACTATGGGAGTGGAAGTAATGTGTGAGAAAGAGGATTATATGATCACTTGAAAAATGGCACCCAATGTCAGGATTCAATATTTCTATTTTTTGCAAATGTCTTCGATTTAATGATTCAGCAACACGTGGGTGGCGATTTAACGGGTTTTCTTTTTACACTTTAAAGGGCGAAGATATGATATTTGTTTGAAAATGGCGCCCAATGTGGGGTCTAAATAATATGGTATATCTTCTATGGAGACCCTGATTCTATCCATTTTATAAAGGAAAATTAATTTGGCCCGTATCAAGTGGAGGTGGGATTTATGTGATTAGTAATAAAATGGCGCCCAATATGATTCTTAATAGTTTAAGTCGAGTAGTCGATATAAAATCCAAATATTATACGTTTAATAAATAATGGTCCACTCTTCGGAACCTCTCCCAAGAAGG